AAGTTACTTTTTGTGGATGTTTAATGTGATAATTGTGTTATACTTCAATTGTTATTTTATCTTCTGTGTGAAGTTCCGCTAAAGGAATTTATGTATTCCGGATAAGCTAGTTTAATGTCCAATTTTTTTTTTTGCTTTTTGGGTCAGAACTTTTCCTAAACTCTCCGAAGTCATCCTTTCTATAATATCTGCTTACCGTCTCTAACCAATTGTTATACATAACATACACCTAAAAAATTCTAAATTTTAATAGAATAAGAATATTCTTTCTTGGGTTCATTGTGTAAATAATATTTTCATCTGTTATGTGTTCGTAGATAACAACCTATTACTAATCCTATGTCAAAAATCATTAGAAATCGAAAAATCCCAAACAATTATATATATATTATGCAAATTCATGTTATTTATTTTGTAAATGTTATTTTTTCTCTTTTTCTCTTTCTTATGTTCTTATGTACTGAACGTAAAAAACAAAAATATCAAAACTAAAAACAACCTCACATTGTCTCATGTTAATGTTGGTGGCACAAATCCATACTTGAACATTTAAAATCTCTATGAAACGCTAAAAAATATTTGTGTGTTTTACAATTACGCTGGCAAAATGAAAAAAAAATGAAAACAAAAAACATTTTAAACCAAATGTTAAATCTCGACGGCAACAAAATCTCAACGCTAACTCAACAAACATCAAAAACAAAATCCTTTGGGCTCATCGGCTTCATTGTTTATGCATATCTACTATATATATACCATTGTGTTTGTCTCTGTGTATAAATGTCTGCTAAAAACGGTGCATTGGCTTTGGCTATCCCAAAACAACCATATCGTCTGAAATGTAAAAACGTATCAAAGGCTTCGATGCCTTGGGCGATGTTCTCAAGCCGGCCTCCGCCAGCAACAACAGCAATCAAATGAACGTTGTCGCCACAGGTTACTCCAGCAATAGCAGTTCGATCCTAGCGTTACAACAGCAGCAACACCACCAGCAACACCAACAACAATTGCACCAGCAGCAACAGCAGCAGCCACCGGCTGGCACTGGAAAGATAATTACCGGCGACTTGGATAGTTCACTAATGTCACTAGTTGATAACTTAAATATAAACAAAACGGCAAGTGCAAAGTGAGTAAAACGAGCCAGTATAATGACGATATATGTATGTGCGTGCGTTCGAAAGTGAAGCCAAACCAGAAAGTTGATCAGTATCCATGTTGTCTCATCACCATTAGTTCACTCGCAGTAGATGGTTAAATCGTATCCCTAATGGTCTCCAAATTCGACCGATTAAAGATCAAGTTCCACTTCCGAACAAACAGCTCCTTTGACGATCCCCCCATCCAAAACTAAAACCTCCTGCCTTCGCCATCCGAACTGACCTTCCCGTCCATAACACCATATTCATGTTCCATATGTGTACATAACGTCCATCCAAAAAATAGTTCGATATCACGCAGAAATCTGTTTAGATAGAAAAACTCCAAAATTCAAATGCCGTGTTCATTGACGTCGTCTATATATCATTACTCTCTTACCCCATTATTCTCATAGACCTGTGCAATGGAATTCACCTAAAAACACAGCGAAACCAGGTGCTAATTGGACACCCCAACCAATGGCGGCTACTACTGGTGCTGGCTATCGTCCAATGGTGAGTTTTGCCTACTCTAACTCTACTCTCTACTGTCTACCGAACTACTCTACTCAAAAATTACCAAAAACTACTCGAAAGAATCCGATAAAAAAAAGCCAAACTCTACGTTGCCTCGAATTTGTTCGAACTTAACGAGAGACTAAAAGAAATAATTCGAATACACTAAGGTCGTGCCGAAGCAGATAAAAAATATGAGAAAAACAATGCCAGAGAAGAAAACATAACACACTTTATTTACTTATCTAAATGCATTGTTTTTCCCTATCATTATTTTACGATTTTGTGTCACCTAACACTTTAGGCTACACTTCATGTACAGTACACTATTTTACCTAATTTGATGTGAAGTACGTTATCAAAATTAATGTTTATTTATTAATTGCACAATCAGTATGGATTTACAACTTCAGCTACTTGGTTCTCTTGATTTGCCGTATAGCCTGATCTCTATAAACATTTTCTCAGCTTGCTTAAAATTTTCTTGATAGAATTGAAAGTAAATTATTATATTTATTCTTCCATCATTACCGCAGTCCACTTTAAATTTCTAAGTGTTGTTTATTTCTTATTTTATAATTGTCCTTGCGGGTTGTAAGTTAAGACTTAATTTTGTTCACACAATATTTTGGCCCTGATTTTCATACAACCCACCTAATACAACATAATGACAGCAATCCGCACCAGAACACAAGCACTAGGGATAATTTTAGTGGCACATCTTGGCGAGCAGGTCAACGGGCTACAACGATGGGTTCATTAAGTCTCAACAGAAAATACACGCAGGCCAAAAACGACAGATCACAAATTTCCATTTTATATTTTTAGTTTATTATTATTTTGATTTTTATTTAGCATTTTAACGAAGTATATATAAACTATGAACTACTTTCTTTTCTTTATTTTATGTTTGCTTTATATCTCAACTATCCCAACGCATACCGCAAAATCGAAAATCGTTAACCGAACCGAATCAAATTGAATCACAACTAAATATATATTGAAACTAATCAAACAAACAACAACAACAACGAATCACGTATGGCAACTCACGCTGCGCCTGTGTTAATGCTGTCTGTATGTGTATGTGTGTTTGTGATATATCAATATATATTCTATCAATATGCCAATATATATATCAATATGCAATACGTAGGCACATGGCATGACCGTAAGTCCTGCGCCAATCACAATCAATCATCCGTATATACATGCTAGTTATCCTGTAATGCCAAATTATATGCAGGTAAGATGATGCTGAAACCAACGAAATGAACCAAAAACATTACAAATTATGAAACAGAATGAAAAATTATAAATAAATATTATTTTGATTTTTACCTGAGTTGCCGTTTTTCCTCATAAGGAATTAACTTAACTTATTATTTGTTTTTAAATGCCTTTTCGTTCCATTGCGTTAAACAATCGAAAATCTATCATCTCCAGCACTATAGCGTATAAACGCGACCTATACGCCAGTTAACTCTCTTCTAACTTTCAAAGAAAACCCGACATATTTCCTGTTTTGGTTACCGGCCACAAACGCGTATCCCTCCTCTGTGGTTCTCGTCTCTGAACAAAATTGTATTATAATCTTGCACTATTATGCGTTAATTTATTATTTTCTTTTGTTATAATTTTGTAAAACATATTTTTAGTAGACATTCAGTTATAAAGCAAGTTACTGTTTCACTTGTCTGTAGTCCTCACTACCTTCCGTATAATTCCCATGTAGAGACTGTTTTCCAAGAAGCCCAACCGACAACTCTTTTTCCTGCCACTGATTTTGTAGCATTGCGTCTATCATAGCAGTTTATAAGTATTGCCCATTCCAGTGCATGAATTTCAATTGAACATACATTTTACGCACATTTTTAACGCCTGTTTCAACGACTCTTGTAGGGAATGCCGGTGATGGGCCAGCCAAGTATGATGGGGCAGTCAGCAGCCCCTTTGACTGGGGCGCAACCGACGATGATGGCGGCGCCGCACAGTAATGCGACGGGCATCATGCAACCCATCCAGCCAACGCAGAATGGCAGCAATAAAGGCGTCCCAATCGACCCATTTGGTGCGTTATAAGCGGTCCCCAAGGAGCTCATGCGTGCAACCCCCTCACTCACTCAATTTAAGCGCTCTAACCTCATAGACAGCAAACATCAAACCACACTCACAGACATAAAAGCGTAATAAAATATTAAACAGAACAATTATTATATATTATATACATGTGCAAGTGAAAATTAAGAACTTGAAATTGCATTATATAAAATGTTTACACTATGCTACAGAAACAATATATAAAGTTTATGGAAACAGCAAAAAAAGCAAACACAAAAGAAACGGAAGCAGATAAGGAAATTATATTATAATGTTGAACATTGAGCAAACACGAAAACAAATGCTATATACATATATATATTTATATTATTACTATTTAAATGAAAAACAAATCAGTTTGACTATTTATATGTATACACCAATTTATATACTACGCTAAAACGAATGAAGAAATGCAGAAAGCAAAAACGAAAAAATTTCCATAAATAGCTAACGGAAAGTAACCTATGTGAAATATACCTATGAACTCTAAGATAAGTCTATACAAAACCTGTAGTTGTGTCCTACGCCAATCACTAAACACACGTTGAATTATCTAGTGGACCTATGTTAACTGTCTCAAAGCAGTAGAATGATTAAACATGAAACTGATTCAGAAATGATATTTTCAAACTCAGTTCAAGTGCTTGCACAGCTTAACGTAATACTTTGCAATATTTTAATCCGTCTATCAATGTTTTTCTGTTATTTTTAGTCAATTCTGGTGGCTAAATACCTATTATATGTTTTAAATTGTTATTAAGCAAATTATGATTTGTTGAAAGGAAAATATTTGTAAATGCATTCCAAACTAGCTTCAATTTTGTCCAAATTTAATTTGCAAAGAAGATAAACATTTGTAATTATTAAGTATTATTTAACAAATTCAAACAACGCTGGTGTAAAATGTGTTGATAATATGTTTAAATTCTAGAAAAAACCGCAACGTTTATTTAATATGTGTTATACTTTAGTGCGTACGTTGTATTAGACATTTATTCAATTGCTTCTGAGCGATACGAAACTGACATCATATACGTAGTTCATTTCATGTATAAAGCATAAGACGTGTTTTGTAGAACTTTTCCTACAGCCCAACACGCTGAACTATGTTTAAATAAAATTTATATAAATTGTACAATATTTTATTTTTATTATTTGTTAATTTTGTGCGGCACTGGAATTTAATTGCCAAAATCAAACAAATTAATTGACTTCCAAATCGTTTATCAACTCCAACCCACCACCCCTTCAGTGTGTAACTTTTTGATGGTTCAAAGGTTTCTTCAACTAGCTTCACATCCAATCCCAATTGCTTTTAATTCTGTCGCTTCTGTCCTTAAGATTATATAGCAGTAGCTATAAGCAAAATCTGTCAACCCTTCGCCATTGCCCTTGAATTTTTTCAGAGTTTTTTTTCGACTTGAGCAGAAAAGTATGCTATATTTTTGCACCAGCCAAAATGCAATTTTATTGCTCACCAAAGTAGGCAGCAGTTTATTGAAGAATACAAAATAAGGTTGACCAGGACTTGCGATTTATGCATCTCCTCAAATGGGTTAGGTGGGTCAACTCTCGTAGGCGAAGAACATCGTAAATGCAATAATCGTTAGATGCAAACAATCATGTATGGAATTTTCATTAAAGCTAAAGCTAAACCGAATCAATGTAAATGTAGCTAAATTATACACTCAAAAATGACAAAAAAATGTTTCATGACAATATTTATACGCTGGTGTTTGAGCTAAACTATACTCATACTTAGGACTAACTAACTTACAACTACAATTACTGTCTACACGAAGCACGCGTCTAGAACCCACGGAACAAAAATTAATAGCCAACTGCGACCACTTGTTGATGATTCGAATGATGAAATTTAGCAAAAGAACAAAACGCAGTTAGTTGTATTTGTCCGACAATTTTTAATGAAAAACGCTTTGAGGGTTGGCTTACCAAATCGAACTGTATCTTGTAGATAACCATAGATCGTGCAATGCAGATTATATACTACTAAGAACTATTTATGTTTGAATCAAAATGTTACTGTGTCTCTATTGGTTTGTGTATTCTCTCTAAAAAGAACCCTACTAAAAATAAATAAGAACACCAAACAAATTAAGATATTTTTGTCACAATGAATTCTTACAATTCAATTCGATCCAATCTCATGGAAAATGCAAACTATTTGGGTATGTAATATGCACACATTCTCATTAAATAGGGGTAAAATATATTGTGTATTATTAAAAATTATGTTGAGAACAAACCCAACTCAAAAACAAAACCAAAATGAAATGTTAGTGCAAAATAAATGTGTAAAATAATTATGTCGTTTTACTTTTGAGTCGGCTGCTATGAAAGTGTCAGGCATTCAGTTTCCTTGAAGTCAACACAACGGAGCTCAATCAACTCGATCAATTTTTAAGTTAGCCAAGAACCCCTTAAGGTAAAGATACTCTCACTATGCCGCCGTGCACATTGCGTCAGAGGGGAATGGCCTATATACCACGTAGGGATAAGAATCGGGAGAAGGATGTCCTGGCACCCAAGCCCGTGCATCCGCGCTCCTTGCGCTTCCACGGATTCTTCGGCATGTCATATGTCCATCAACATGTGATGGTCGACGAGCGGTGGACCCCCAACTCATTAACCGAGCAATTCAAGGGAATGACCGACTTGTTGAGTAAGTTATTTCTATCGGTCCGATTTGGCACTATTGAAAATCTACATTGAACAGCACGCCGCTTGGTGTTCAAGAATCATGAGTCGAAGGCCAATCGTCAGCGGTATTTTCGCGAGAACAAGCGTCTAAAGCTGCAATGTCGAGATGGGCGCACAAAATTGCAGAATATTCTGGTCAACGACAACACGCACAAGATACGCAACTTCCTCATTAACCACAAAGATATGCAGCGACTGTATCAGAAAATGCCAATTCACCTGGTGGTGGACAACATTAATCAGCGAACCTTTGTGATGAGGAAAGAGCGGGATCGCTTGGAGTTTCGATTAGATCAGTTAAAGCAGCACTACAAGGAACAGCTGGTTGGTTGATTTTATCTTATTTTATCAGATATAGATTTTTTTCCTTCAACTTACGAATAACTCAATTATTAATTTTACTTTTATCAAAAAACAGCTGCGGCGGGCACTTCTTCAGAATCGTATCAAATATCAAAATGAATTCATTCTCGACGAGGAGCTAAAGTCGCGAGTTTTCCTTAAGAAGATCGAAAACTCCAATGTGCGCCTGAAGGCTATCAAGACCATCAATAATACTTATAAGAAAATGATTCAGGTGCTGGTCCATGACGAAATCTTTTACGAGCCCATCTTGCGCTCCCTCAGCAGTGACATGGATGATCAGTCGAACTTTATCAAACATATCCTGTTCCTGGGAATGCCGGCCATAGCGAAGTTCAAGGAGCTAAATGACGAGTTTAGGAACATGGAGGAGAAGTCCCGCAAGAACCTCCAGGTCAAACTGCAAATGCTGGCCTCTCTTAAGAAACCGGCAGGTACATCGATTAATTTCAACAAACCCAAGGAAGCGCCTCCGACAACGAATCTGAAGCGTTATGTCCGGGAGACCCAGAGCATGATGATACTTAAATTGGAGCTAAAGGCTGTGGAGAAGACTATCAAAGAGGTCAAGTTTGTAACCCTTTGTTCCCAGGCCAAGGAAATTTATCCACGGTTTGTTATTACTTTGATTTCATTTACTTTAATACTTATACATATATTCTTTAATCCAGAATGAAGAGCCAGGTGGACAACAACGACAAGCTGCATCGCATGATTGTTAATGACATGTTGGCTCACGAAATGCTAGAGACCAAGATGAAGTGCGCCAGTGTTTTAAAGGGAGTGCTGGTCAACAATCTTTCAGAGGAAGAGATCAAGTGGGTGATAAGTGAATAATACACATGACAATTTTTCTTATCTTTGTTATTATTTTAGTCGTCTGGAGCGTATCAAGGACCTGAAGAAAACATTGCAGAATGATACCCAATTCGAACAAGACACATTGCAGCATCTCAAGAATAGAGCAGATGCATATGTTATGTTAAGGTAAGTGGTTTGTTTGCTTTATGTTAAGTAAGCATGATTTAAGATGTCTTAATCACTAATCTTGGCTTTATAAATATTATGTGAAAAATATCTCTTTAGTTACATTCTACAGATATAAAAATAATTGATTTATGCCTGTAATAATCTTTTCAAATTCATAAAATTATAATATTTTCTTATAAAACATATGCAAACTAAATGATTTTTGCTATTTCCAGAGTAAGCATTTGGAATCTGTTGGAAATTCTTCGACATATTGATCGACAGCCCAAATTGCTTCGTGCCCAGTATCCCAACTCGTACTTAAAGCTACCGTTGCTTAAATTTGAAATGCTGAACATGAGGGCCGCTGCCCCCGAGATTTTCGAGGAGAACAGTTGAGTCGGCTTCTCTAACCAAACAGAAGCCATAAATCTAACCTACTCTATCCGCAGTTGATAACATAATGCATATGGTGAAACGCAAGATCTACAAGCTGATGAAGGCCTATGCAGTTGAGCTGAAGCCGGCGACCGTCAAGCGAAATGTGGAGGAATACCATGCCGATTTCTTGGCCAGCCTGGATATGTATGAGCCCGTGGACACTGAGGAGCAGGCTCCAACGGCTCCCGAGGACGATATCCTGCAGGAGAATAAGACCATGGCCAATGTGCCCAATCGCAAACAGATAAAGGCCCAAAGTGCCAAGCTCGTGGAAGAGTTGGCCAAGCGGGATGAAATGTAAATGTTTCTATTTGTATTTGCTTAAGAGCTACTTAAAATTTGAAGTAAGTTAAATTCTGCAAGTAAAATAACAATTTAAAGTGCCCACAATTGGTGGCCGACAAAAAAAATAATAAATCGTGAGCTTTGCATTGGCGAAATCCCGAAAATGTAAGCTGCTTGCCAGTAGTCGCCTTCAGATAATTGATCCATAATTGCAGAAAACGCTGCTTACGATCTTGGATTTCATCGGGTTTGATTGCCTCAACTTTTGGCTTTTGTCGACGCCCTGCATTTTCAGAGGCAGTTGCAATAATAGCGAGGAAGAATTATTGTTCCATTGCCTCATCTAATAATTTGAGAGTTTTTCCCAGTTTGATTTGTGGGTTGTGTAAGGTGTGAATAGTGTAGATAAACCTTCAGGCTTGAATACGATGCGGACAACCTTCTATAGTCTATAGATTAATCCGCATTCGTTGGGCACATTTTCGGACCGTCTTCGAGTGCATCAATAGAGCCATTAATCATTTCCTGGCCACTCCACAGCGATTTCCTGTCGAGTCTTTTGCCCAAAAAGGTCAGTGGTTGTCATAAAAGTTTACTCGCTCAGCCGTCGACGGATGGAATCATTCGGAATTCATCCGAAATGAAGTTGACTGGATGGGTTGGATGGGTTACGGGCCGTCATTTTTCGGTCTTAGAGGAGCGAGCACGCTTCCATTTCAGTCCGCAGTACGCTCGCTGACTGCCTTCCTATCTATCTGTGCTGTTATATCTGCGTACACGATATCACGCCGACTTAAAAAAAACCTGGCACGGGAGCACGCGAGCCCGTAAGCCGCCAAATGAGGTTATGCAAGTCTCACATTACTCGCGGGCCACCATGTTTATTCATATGCACACCACCGACCATATTCACGTTCGCCCCGATGCGGTTATTGTCATTGTTCCCCCTCAAAAAGCCAGACAAATTGGGTGCTGGAAGTGCTTAAGCGAAGGTGATGGTGTTTTGGTGGCTGCCCTTAAAAGTTAATTTTGTGGTCAACTTTCGACACTTGAATGAAATGCTTTTTCATGGCTAACAAATATTTTGAATGGTTGGTGTTTTGCGGTGAAATTGTTGTGTAAATAAAGAAAGAAAGTCAAACACGATTGAGAAGTGCATTTAATAAATTTATTGCAATATACCAACTTTATTCTTCAAATTCATGGTAATATTTGACTTATTTCTGGTCTGAAAAAAACACTTAAGTAATTAAATATATATCCATTAAAGGCTACATCCGTAATTGGTATAATAAATCATAAATTCACGGAAATACCTACCACCAAATCAATTAATCCAATTGGGCAATGAGAATAATTATACTCGAAATCAATCAATTCGGTCGATTTGCTATGGGGGTTTCTTTTGGTTTGTCAATTAAACATATCTGCAGCTTCTTATAGGTTACTTACCATTAAGAGGTCGCTTTTCACATGACCCACTCCAGGATCAGCTACGTGATTGGGCCTAACAAATGGCTAATTTGGACATCGTAAATCTTCATAAACGAATCGATGCAATTGCCCGGGCTACTCGGACTGTCTTCAAGTAGTCAAAACCTATTTAACCCGCCACTTTGCACTCTTGCCCCAAAACGACGATGTGGCTTGCTCAGTTCCTGTAGTCATCGTTCAAACGGTTGCCAGTTGCAACATTTCAAGAAGCCACAACCCACCGGCAGCCGTTCGGTCGTCCAATAATTATGAACCTTCTTGGCTGTTGGCGGCAGTTTGTGTTTGAAATTATTCGCATAGTAGCCCCAGCATCGTGGCAACAACAATTGGTAGTCAGTCAACTTAACGCGGTCTGCGAAACTAGCCAATTTCTGTTCGTTTCTGCCGGCTGAGTCGTGGCCAACGTTTTTCTTTCCTTTTTCTTGCTTTGTACAATTTGTAAAACGAAGACGAACTGTTGGGAGAAGGAAGGAAACGTGTGATGTAAATGCCTGTGACGAAAATGTGTTACTCTATTAAGAATTTAAAATTAATTTTGAAAGTATGATAAATTAAATGGCATACATAACCATATATTACCTAAATATATTTAATAATTTTGGATATGACTCACGTGATTTGTAAATTAGAAAAATTAAGACAAAAACTTATAAGTAAAGTATAATTTTTATAAGTAAAACAAGAGTAGGCTATTCCTTACATTTTTTATATAGATCCATAATAAAAAAGAAACAGTTTTGAAAAATAATTGCGCAAAGATTGTATACCTTTTCCGAGGGTATAAATGTAGGATTTACTGCATTGCATGCAGCACCCCCAGGAAATTATCTTGTCAATGGCTGCGCTTCAATTGCAGTCCAGCTATTGTTGGGCTTGGGCTTCGTTTTTGGGGTCTGGGGGCCAACTCCTCCGCATCTGAGTCGAGCTGAGATGGACAGTAGCCCGGACCTGGCTGGCAGTTCCCTTTTTTTGGGAGCTCGTTTTTAAGGTGTGTTCCTGCAAGGCACATGATCCCAGCCATATTTCTTCTTCATTTGCTGGCATAATTTACATATGGTTATATAAGCTGTATTCGGGTAGGCAACAGGGCTAAACGAATCCATTGCAAAACTGAGCCCCAACTGATGCGGCATGTTTTATTTAATTGCCAACGAGTCATACCAAGAAAAACGGCGCAGAGAGAGCCCAAAGTCGAGTACACATGTAACAGTTAACATCGATTTGAACCAACTGGCCATACCATCCATCCATCTATTCCCCTTCAATTGCTGATTTGTGTAGGGCAGACAGTTTTGTCTTTTGTTCGTGGTCAATGGGCGCGTATATGTAGGTTTCCTAACGTGTTTCCCCTTTCAAGGGGCCCAGCATGTGGCCTGAAAATGTTTATCGATGTGGAGATGTGCTATTCACAATCATCATTAAATACAACTTATAATTTGTCAATGCTTCTGCAGAAATTATGTTCATAATAAAACTGGGATTGATCTAAATAAATATCTCAAATTAATTGGGTTGTATCGAGCAGACATCAAAGTAGCTGCCAATTGGGGATATTATATCACCTGCAGAACAATACCAACCGGCAGGTTCAACTCTTTTGCGGACACTCCCATTTCTTTGGCCCAGAGACCGGCTTTAGCCGGCAACAGAACAAAAGTTATAAATAAATCTGTGTCACTGGCAGAACCCAGCACAAAACAATAGATAAATGAACAAAAGCGACAACGTTAAATAAATACACCTCAAATCATTCAAGATTATGCAATTTATAGGAGTAAATGAAAATATCAAACACGCAAGCAAAAGAAGCGAATGATTCAATACAAAAGACTTGGACAACAAACTTGTTTTGGTTCTAGGCGTAGAACACGTTTAGGCGAATCTCGGCGAAACTTTCCCAGCGTCGGAAGACTTTTGGCCGAACTGTAAATTTGCTGGCATGCATATTGTAATAGTGTCATTTTGTCTTGGCCCAGTCATCTGCCTAATTAACAGAGCTTCATAAATATTCAAGCCCATCGTAGATAAGAACTTCTGCCATTTGCTCAAAGTCCCAGAGATGCACGTTCCGTTCGTGCTGTGCCGCCATTAAGGCTTCAGCTCTAAGCCTTTGGTTCTCGGAGACTCGACTCCAGCCGAAAAGTGTTTTGAAATCACTCTCTATAAATATGGATTTCTCAAGAGCTCGCTGTGAGAGTCTGGCCGGGGCTTAGCTGACTAACAACCGATTATTTTAATTAAATTTTATTATAAAAGACAAAAGACCCAACGCCCACATGCCAAAGGCAAAGTAAATGCCCAAAAATATATATTTTTATTGCGGAGATTATGCAATTGTTTGCCTAACCAGCTGCTGTTCTATGCAAATGTTCCAACCTTATCTTCCCTGCGAATTATACAGCTGCACTTATCAGCCATGCTGGTTAGAACACGGCTCGACCTCCGACGACCTCGGGCATGGATTCCAGCCCAATCCACGCCCCGCCTACGGATTTGCCCTTCAGGCAGCCACTGCAATTGTTCAGTTAGAGCGCGATAATGCAAACATTAGACACTTCATTTCATTTGGTTTGCCGTCGCGTCCGTACGGCTTTCAATACCTCAATTAACCCATCATGGGCATGCGCAGCTTCTGTCTGCGGCTTTGTTTTCCGTTTCTTTCGAGCTTTGTTTTGTTTTGGCATCTTCGAGATGCCTATCGAGCCAACACACACACGTCGATCTACAATTTCCGAGATCCGAGATAGTCGCCAGTGGCTGGTTACGGGCCCAGAAATTGGGGTGCCATTGACGAGTCGTGAATCAGTTAAAGTTCTTGCAAATAATTAAAAGGTTCCGCGACTGAGGAATACTTGAAGCCATTAAGAAGCCCGAAATAACTACATTACCATAGGCTGTGATAAGGAAGTGCCTACTTAACTGTGTGAAATATTTTCCATATAACAATTGAAAATAATAATCTTAATTTTGAGAAATCTTATAAATGATTGGCCAAATGAACAATCTATTTTCAAAAGAATTTCTGCGAAACTCCTTTATTATAACTAAATATGGGCTATATGCAAAGCAAACAATAAAAAACTAGTGTACTAGCTGAATTTTCCCGAATTTATTACAAACATCATCGGTTTATCGCAGGAACCTTTTCTATACATCTCCTTGCTGTCTGCCTTGTGAATGTTCTTTTTGAGATATAGCTCTTGATGGCCAACAGCAAAAGGGGCATATATCATAGTCCAAGTGGCCTGTATGCAATAAGGTACTATATTGTTTGTAATTCCGAGACTATCTCACAATCGCCGTTGATTGAAGCTAGCTCGGTGGCTTTTGTACATCAAATGGCAAATCTATCAGGGAATACCCGATAGTTTGGAGCTGTCGAGGAGTCAACAAAAACAGTCTGACAATTTTATAACATCTTTTTAAGGTTCCTTTAAATCCGTTAAAAATCTAAGTTCTGCAAAAAATAAATTGAATGTTTTATATGCCATATTTTTTACTCACTTTGGGATTAGCTTTCTCCTTATCCGAGTTCTATGTAGCTCTTGATGGCCACCTAAGGCAGAGGGCGTATTTAATATAAGGGGTTCAAAGACCCAAGAGGAGATTTGATTTTGTAAGAACGGGACTAACTCTGAATCAAAGGCGATTGATTAGAGCTAGCCCGGTGGCTTTCGTACATCAAATGACAAAACTATCAGGGAATACCCAATAGTCTGGAGCTGCAAGGGCATCAATAAGAACATTCAAACAGCATTTTAAACGTCTGTAAAAGGGACAGTTTCTATTTTAGGTCCTGTAGATATTGTCTGGGTAAGAACCGGGATTACTATGTGTAATTTTAAAGGATCACCTGGCACTTACCGGCCAGCAGTTGATGGGGTTCCGCATCCAGTTTCTTATTGGCAGCTTCCTCGATGTAGTCTCCGCCCGCTCGCAAAGGAAGAGGTTCTATAGCCGGATGGTAAGTGGGAACGGAATCGAAAGGCTGCTGCCCTTGGTCGTCCTGTTTGCTTGGCCCAAACTGCACCGCCTCCTTTTCTACTTCTTCCGGCTGCTGCAGTTCAGGGACCTTTTTCTGGCAGTTGAAGAATCTAATCCACGTATGTGGCCGGAAGAATCGACATCCCGTTTTGGGTGGCTCCTCAAGCGGCGATCCTTTCCAATCGTTGGCTATCTGATCCCGATGGAGATGCCGATGGTGGTAGTGCTGCTGCTGCTGTTGTTGCAGACGACTGACGTCCTCCACCACAAACAGGATGCCAGCCACAATTAGCAAAGCAACCGAAAGCAGAACAAGGAAACACAGGATGTCCTGCAGGAGGGTCCTCAGATAATCTGGGTTTCCCGAGCGACGCTCTTGAGCGGGCGTTTGACTTTCGGCCTTGGAGAGATCCATGTGCAAAGAATTTTGAAATGCCGAAATGTCTACAAAACTTAATTTTTTACTATATATTTTGTTTTAATTTGGAATACCAAACGGTGTTGACTGCTCAACCGACCATGTAGAATGAAGTTATTCGTGCTGACCTAGGCTGAAATTAACTGGACTTGAAATACCTCGCCTACTGACTTGCAAATCGCCTTTATTTTTCTATTGGAGCTTTGTTGTCTTTCCTGCATTTCTCATGATAAGCCCAACTTTCTCAACATCCCGGGAAATTGGTGTAATTGAAACTCTTTAACGGCAATCAACATGGCGTTTGATGTGATTGAATTATTGGACACTTAAATGGGCGGCCCTCAGCGAAATGCAAGGCAGCCAAGTCGAGTCGAATGAAAGAGTCTTTAGCGCATTTTCCTATTTTCACACCTCGGGCAGCCCTTTCGTCCGCTCCTTGGCCCTCATTTGGAGCTTCGGACTGTCGGCCTGGGGAAGCCCAACGTATCACTCAGTGCTAATGAAGATGTCTTCCCCAAAACTGGAACCGAATCCGTGGCAAACTGCCAGGCCTGGCAGTTCATTAGTCAGGAAGTGTTATACATGATGCAGTCGACTGTGCGGCCATGCATGTTAGGGAAATTGAGGCTTTAATTTGATTATATAGACACTAAAAAAGGGGAGGGCTTAGGTATTATGTAAACGGTTCGTCAGTGACTATCTAATTTGCAAACATAATTGGGACTTGGTGATAACTAAATGCAGAAAAGTAATGATTTAAGTTACATTTTCATAAAAGACGATCAAATATAATTACAACTTGTTGTATGTAAGCCGTAGAAAAAAGCTAAACAAATATTTTTAAAATTTTCCACATAAACAAAACTAAATAAACATTAAATAATTTCCCTTTTTATACCCTTGTAGAGGGTATTATAATTTCAGTCAGATGTTTGCAACGCAGTGAAGGAGACGTTTCCGACCACATAAAGTATATATATTCTTGATCAGGACTAATAGCCGAGTCTATCTAGCCATGTCCGTCTGTCCGTCTGTCCGTTTCTATGCGAACTAGTCTCTCAGTTTTAAAGCTATCGCGATGAAACTTTACCGAAAGTCTTCTTTCTATTGAAGGTAGTACATATGTCGGAGCGAGCCGGATCGGACCACTATATCTTAAGGCTGCCATAGGAATATTTAAACAAACATAAGAAAACTCATTGTAACTTTGTAGGAAGTAGGCGTTTTGATTCTTGACTACTTATGTATAAACAAAATTAAAATAGAAACGCTGAATCTGGAATCCCTGGAACTGCACCGAGTGAGCATTACTTTATCTGCAAGGGTATATAAGCTTCGGCTGGCCGAAGTTAGCTTCCTTCCTTGTTTGTTACTATATTGTCAAAATGTAAGGGTATGTTCATTAGTATCTGCTGCTTTAAAATGGTATCCATCCAAATAAGTATAAATAAAATAAATTAATTTAAGGAAGTCACCTCGGAGAACCTTGTCTGCTGAAAAAACAAATAAATTCGATTTCCGTAAAACGTTTTCAATCAGCTGGCTAAAATCAATTAAAAGGCAACTGCAAATGCTCAGTTATACAATCAGAGTTGTAAATTGTAAATGCCCCCACTGTGTGACGCTCTGCAACTGATAAGGCCACCTCCCCCTGGAGCTGAGGAAAACCAAAAGCTCGGGCGAGCACAACAATGGCAGCGGAGACATTACATAACCTCCAGATGCCAGGGCAGGCACAATAACCTACAAATGCAACCTCCACTAACCGACTGAACCCAGGCCCAAAAGGGGAAAAAATAAAATACAAAATACAAAGCTAAACTGCTAAAAACCAACGTAATACAGTTTGCAGCTTCTAGAGAAAATGAAACGAAACAAAAAAAAAACAAAACCCGAGCGGGAAAATCATCGGGTCGAGTTGTGTGTGGGAAATTGCGACAACGACAAATAAATTACAGCAACGCTTAAGGTCAAGCGATTTGTGCAGAAATGAGGCATATAGAAAACATATTGCTGCGATCGCTGCCTTTCTGATAACCAAAGAAATGAATAGGCCCTCTGCTGCTAACTGCTGGCTGGCGAACAGTGATGCTAAGAGGCTGGACAAGATATTTATATACAGGGACAGGTACTTCTATCCATAATTATTTACGCACTGTCGAACTGGATAAACATATAAACATTTTGTTTATCTTATAAGAAATACAAATGTTATTTCTCTTTTTATTTATCTCCTATCAATGATAAGTTATCATTTATTAATATTTTTATAAGGTACCCTGGGTAAATGTAAAGTACCTTTGTCATCACTGCTACCGAGTGCCAGTCTGTTAGACTGCCGACGAATCGTGGCTACCTCAATTGCTGCGGGGTCAAATGGCGTTGAGGTAACGAGGCGAGCTAAATCATCGACTTCAACTGGGAGTCAACACGTGCAGAGTGTTCCATGCCCCCGGCGCAGACCTGGGTTGCGAATCTTCGGCTCTGGAGTCGCGCAGCTCCGCCAGAATTGATTGCCACTTGGGAAGGCCATTTCGGTTGCTTTTCTAGCGCGTTCGTATATATAAATCAAAAGAATTTTTCCAAATTGCAGTCCACGGCTCTGCGCCATGACTTAAGTGCCGAGGAAGGCCCAAACGCTTGTCTGACATTAGCCATCTACCCGGGGAGCGGCCGGGTCTGGGGCGAATCAAGGTGTCAGTTCGGGGTGTGGGGCTGAGGAATGGTTTTCGGTAGTTGGCGATCAATTAAATTCGTATTATTTCTTCTATTTTATGTGGCTATCTCCAGAAATGATCCCGCCCTTTATTTAATAGAGAATGATTATCCCAAATTAAGTTTTATTCTGACTAAATCATTATCTGAGATATAGATTTAGGTGTATTACAGTAATTTGAGTGAACAACATTATGTTATTTTCTGAGAGGCTATGCTGTTTTCGTTAAAACATAATGGTGCTGAAATCTATGATAAAATTATGATTCTTCTTTCACACTTACCCATAAACAAAATAAATGGATACTGTTCTATGTTGATAATTTGAATAATAATGATTTTAATGCAATTTAATAACTCAGTATGTGTTTACTTGTATTAATATTTTCCTGTAATTAAAACCCAATTTATAACCCGGGCACTATATTGAAAAAATGTTTTCTGTTTTTTAAGATATCGCCCGTAAGCGGGGCTTCCCCACTCCCCCTCAATCAAAGCGAAAAAAATTGCCCTTTCGAGGAGGTGAATGCCTGGCCAGTTTCATAACCCATTTCGATGGGTTGTATCTAGCGACTAGTTTTGCCCATCGTCTTCGTGGCTTCATGTCTTTATTTCACCCACCGCCACCACAAGATTGTGTTAAAATTTTATTTTTGCATAATTGAAAAAATTTAACAACTTTTGCCAAACAAATTTTACGTTAACTGTGCGCATTTTGTAATTTCGCTCGCGTGCACATTTCTTTTGCCTTGCCGACCTGACCCATTCCTTGGCTAAAACGGTCGAAAAAATACAGAAAGCTAAAACATTATTACAACAAGCAGCGTGATTTCCGGAAGTTGAAGCTGAAGCGCAACAAAGGCGCCTGCGCCTGCGCAAATGTCGTCGTCGCTGCTGTCGAATTGATTGTTGCCGTTGCAGTTGCAGTTGCTCAGGCAGTTGCTGCGAAGATGCAAAGAAAGTCGTGCTGCAACAGCTGCAACGGCAGCTCGGCAAACTTGCCGTCCTGCCTTCGTGCGAATAATGTCATTTGTGTTTGTTTTATAACCAAATTTACAACAACTTGCCACTGTCGACGGCAGCAGCAGACACAACGACACTGGCGCACTCAACATAATTGCTCCTATCCATGTCAATGTTGTCGATGGGCAATCTACAAGAACATTTCTTGTGCCTTTAAAGGATGTGCACGAATTTTCAGTGGACAGTCAGTGTCGAAATGCATTAAACAGAACAGCAGAAAACTACCTTATTAGGCACGGAAAGTTAAAACAATTTCTTTGAAAAAGCACCTGTTACAAAGCTGACACTTAAGATTTGCCACCCTTTAAAAAGCTTGGGGGAATTATTATGAATTTTCCTTTACAAGTATTTTAAGTATTCTTAAATACATTGAAAACCCTAATTTCATATTTTTAATTTATTTATTCTGTTTGTTTTATAATTGATATTATATTACTTATGTATCGCACATTTAGCACATCAGCTCTTTGTATTAAGTCAGATTTATCGTATAACAAATGTCTTGATATTTTTGATCAACTAATTTAGTCGTCTTTCCGTACCTTTACTTTCATAAAAGTCTTTCCTACAACTTTCACCGCAAGCTCTTTAGAAATATTCTAATCAATCATCTAACGTAAGAAAATACTTTTACTTTACTTTTACTTTACCCAAAGTTAAAGAAAAAAACTTCAGGGTCAGAAGTTATGTAATCTTTTCGATACCACAAAATTGCGTCATTTGCCATTTTTCGTTAATTCCTAATTAATAGGTTTTCTTCTTTTTCTACGTGGATGGAGGCTGCACGATTCTTACATAATAATTATAGAAATAAAGCTGTCGTGGCTAACATAAATTAGCATTATAGAAAATAGAAAGGTCCCCTTCTTTGTCGGCCCCAAATAATAGCCAAATGGTGTTTTTGCCCTCGCATCCTATCCTCACACTTGACCATTCTTTGAGCTGCTGATGATCGTGGCTAATTTTATGCCATGTCTCGTTGGATTTCATAAATCTTTGATGTGGCGAAATTTCGTCCAAGTGGCGGAGGCATTAAATTAATGTTCTAACATAAATTTATAATTCATGTTTAAAGGCCAGGCCACCACTTCTGTAAAAAATTATGGCTTTGGCTTGGCAGCCGCCAGTTGAGGTTGATTTAATGACCTTTTTCAGATGCTGAAGCCGATGCTGGCGTAGACACAGGTACTCTTATTAATTATTTTATTGGCAGACGTTTTATAAATGCTTCACTGACAGGAAGCGCTAATTAAAGTTTAGTTCTTTATGCAATTTGTGTCGGGCTTAATTAATTTTGTCAAGCATTAATAAATTGCTGTTTACTTCTTGGTCCTTTTGCCAATTACTTTTTCTTTGCAAGGCCACGCTTATTATTTC